GTTTGTCCTACCAGTGCTCTATCTGATCTCTGAGACTCTTGGTAACTAAAATTTCTAGGGCTACTTAGTAATAAGTTGTATTGAATTAGTCTCAGATGTCAGCCTGACAATTTGAAGCCATAGCATTGCTTGTCTAGTGCTTGAAAGTGCATGCTATTATTTTGATAATTTTATTTTATGCCAAGCTTTGTCTCCAGGTATCAACCTAGCCCTGACCTGAGATGCTTTCTGTTTCATGGTAATATATGAGTGTTTTAATCTTTTTGTATTTTGTGTTTTCCTGTAAATCAGAATTTTAAGATGTCTCCTGGTTAATTTCTAATGTAAAGTGATCTTTTGCCCAGTGGATATACCTTGTAAGAGCTTTAATTGTGAGCATTTTTAAGGCATTTTGAATATCTATGGAACTGATCTAATGCTTTTGAAATAGTACTACAGAGTACAGTTTTGTCATGTTAAGTGAGATGGTTGGTAACTTGTGTCTAAATTTGGGAGATCACATTGTACATTGTACTACTATAGATGTATGCCATAAGTCAGAAAGATAATGGATGGAGATATCGTCAGTAGGAAGAAAGGAAAGGAATTCTGTTAAAGTGAAATTGATTTTTAAATGAATGAAAGTTACAGAATGTATGTAAAGGAATGTGTAGAAGGTTTGAGGTTGTTCTAAAGAAAAGGAACTGGTCAAACTGTTATAAGAAACGCTTTAAATCACATGCAGAATTCTTCTAGCACCTTTGTGGTAAGATCTATGGAAAAGATGATTGATGGATTATCTGGACTCCTGTTACAGTGCTCTTAAGATCATTGAATTTTTCAAAAGTTGCAGGAAATCAAGGGTTTTGACATGGGATTGAAAACGTGTTAAACGGTATGCTTTATCTCTACAGATTTTAGCTTCTCTGACTAGGACCCACAGCAAACAGGTGTATTACATCTCTGTGAGTAAAGTGAAATACTTGCTTTTCTCTTCTTTTGTACCTTCAGTATGTTTTTTTAATGTTTCATGGCACTATGTTGGTTTGCATAAATCCAGATAAGTCTTTCCTCTCTGTAATAGGGTCTACCCCTCATGCAGACAGGAAAAACCAGCCATGGGACCCCAAAGCCCTCTTCCAGGGAAACAGTCAGGGGATCTGTCTAAATGACAGGAGCAGGGATTTAACAGGTACTGTTTCAAGAACCCTACAAACCTCAGGGCGACCCTGGAGGCAGGCTGGCTCGAGAAAAGACTGGAAACCATCACTGCTATGGAGAATGAGGAATCTAGGACTCTGCAATGACTAACTCAGTCTGGGCCTACTCTCAGCGTCAAGGAAAAACCTAGAAACCAAGATTTCTCCCAGCCCTGAAGAAGGGATGGGATGGATTCCTTTCTGCCAGGACATCTCTGTGGAAAACGAGGACCAAAGCCACAACCCGAAGACTCGAGACATCGCGGGACATCTTCTGGCCAGGCCTGGGTAGCTCTGACGTGCCAGATAAGATTAGTGAAGATTAATGCCACTATTGTTGTGTCTCCTGTCTTTAGCTGATCCCCAGGACTTCTCAGTAAATAATTGGGTATCCCAAATGGAGAGTTCTCTAATCTTACTGTGTTTATGCAAAAGAACAAACCAGGTTTGTTAAACTATCTTGCAACGTTTTAAAATGAAGGTGGAGAGAAAACCATGTTTCTGTAACTTGCTTTTTGTAAGAATCAGATTCTAATTCTACAGAGGTGATTGAATAAATGTATTCTAATCTTGATCTAAAAGGTACCCCCTTTGGGGAAATTTAGATAAAACTTAGTTTACTGTCTGTAGGTAAAACAGCCTAATCTGTAAAGGGAACTCAATATTATACATGCTGTCACTAGTCTGATACGAGCATTGAAAGCCAGAGCTTTACTAGGGTGAAGCTCATCTCAAAGTGCAGAATTGCTTCCCCCCGGTCTGAATTGGCCAAAGTGTTGAGAAAGGCATCTAAACTGGTTAAATTAGAGTAGATTAATATCTAGTTCTAAAATACTGTGAATTTTCTTTCTATACTTTATTGCATCTCATTTTCTGTGAACAGTCATTTGGAGAGAACAAGAATATTATCAGCTCTTAATTTCTGTTGCATCATGGGATTAACAACTCCTGGACCAATGCAATGGAATATTATTAAAGGGTTATGTTTTAACACTAGTGAGAACCATCTTCCATGGGGAGGAACTGAGCAGCAGGTAAGGTAGAAGTAATTCAGAACTGTGCTTTCTGTGCCATTAATGAACCTAGTGGAAATCCTGAGCCTCCTTTCCTAACACCTGTTCAGCATCAAGGAACTTAGAGGTGAATTGGCAGCTTGACCTTATACAAATGATCAAATATTCATATGTTCAAGGTATAAATATCTGTTGGTTATCATTGATAGCTTCAGTATATGGGCAGAAGCTTTTCCAATCTGTACTGAGAAAGCCAGAGTATGGCTTGGTGTTTCTGTGACCATTAGAAAAATCTGAACACAGGAAGTTATATTATCAACCAAACCTGTTTGTAGAGTTAATCCTTTTCATTGTTTTAATGATAGAGATGGGTATGGCATTATGTTGCTTTGGTTTCTGTTGCTTTAACTCTTTTTAAGACCTCATCGAGAAATCTCTCACATCCCTGTTCGAGATAGTCTCCCAAAACCTGAGAGGACTCGACCTTCGACCTGTTGTTCCTCAAGAACAGAGGGCTTTGCTCTGATCTGGTGGAGGGATGCTGTTTCTACGCAGACCACACTGAGGTTGTCAGAGACTCTATAGCCAAGCTACGGGAAGGCCTTGAACGACGTCGGAGAAGCCTGGGAGAATTGGTTTGAGTCTTGAAGATCCTCCTAATTCTGGGCAACAATACCGGACTCTACCCACTGAGGAAAGCTACTCTTAACCACGGGTCCTCGAATTAGGCCCCGACCCCCCCACGATCTCTAGGATTAGAGATGCTCATGAAAAGAAGTGGGGAATGAAAGAATCCATATTAGGGCATCAAATTTTTGTGTACTTTAGCTAACTTGCAACATTGCTTTCTGTAAAACTGCTTGGCTGCTTTGCACCTGGGGGAGAGGGGACTTGGAAAGTGATTTACTGTCCCTGAAATGTATTGTCTCAGTAAAGCACCCTGCAGATTTGGGTAAAGGATAACTCAGGATGCGGGTGGTTGGGGGAAATTGCCCTTTCCTGGAATGTATTGTCTCACTAAAGCACCCTGCAGACTTGGGTAACTCAAAATGAGGATGGTCAAGGGAGATTTCCTAAGGCTTAATGATTCCAGCTATAACCTTGCTTGTGCTGACAATCGATGTACGTAAATGCTGATCTTTGAATCTATAGGCTAAGGAGTGAGGTACTTTTAAATGGATTGGTTAAGAAAGTATATGTTGTTACAAATCTATTGGCTATGAAATGCGCGGGCTTTGCTGTAACGGCCAGTGAAGGCCTATATAAGATCCCCTTTGAAGAAGTTCGGGGCTCTCAGCCACTGCCCATTTTTGGGGTATGCTGCAGAGCCCCAGCATGCTGGTCTAAATAAACCCCATTTTTACTCCTGCAGGAACTGTGTCTATCTGTTCTCTCCGCGCCTCCCAGGGCTAGGGAACTCCCGATCCCAACAACACCTACCACCCTCCATCCACCACCACTCATCTGTCACCATAGAGAGATGAAGGCGAGACCAGAGTTGTGTGGGAAGCAGCAGTAGAACATCCCAGAAAGAACAAGTAACTCACAGGTCTGGAACATGTCCTTGCGCCAATCTGTAAGAAACATACACACGGTACCTGCCTATCACATTCATGTCAGAGATTTGTAGACACTATACATTAAGTACATATCTGAAACATCATAATGAAGTAATAATAGGGACATTTTAAAAACATTCAACAGATTCTTTTATATACACTTTTGACACATTTATGTGCACACATGCACACACACGCGCACACACAGACACACACACACACACACAAACTCATCATGCACCAATGTCTTCATTAAAGATAAGCCCAAAAGCTCAATAACCAGGAATTGAGAGGCTGTATAAATATCTCTCAGTATGAGAAACAGAAATGTAATTACCCATATATGATTATCCATCTTTGCTTATCAAGCACATAGACATGCTTATCCTGAAAAGTGATTTTCTTAGAAAAAAATTAAGAGATCAATATTTTCTAGGCCTCACTTTACTTATGAAGAACTTAGAAATATTGTTCTGGATCTCTAAGTTTTCTCTAAAAAACAGAAGGAGAAAATTGCAACTTGCTTGAGCTTCACTTAATCCATAAGTGAAGGAAACTCAGAATACAGCAAGAGATTTATCTTATCCAGTTAAGAGGCAACTGAGAAGGTTTCAAGGGATTAAGAAAGATTCAAAGCAGGGAGACACACGCATTCAATGAGAGGAATGACATTAATTATTTATCTACCCCTTTAGTGAGGTGGTAGGGGGGCAAACCTCCCAAAGAGACAAAAGAGAACAAAATCAAACAAAACTGTATCTAATCACTTTATTTCCCCAAGTCTTTCCCAGATCTACAAAGCTTCTAAGAGAAACAGTATCATAGTAGAACCTCAAAGAAACCCATGTCCTAACCCCAAGGTATGTGAAAAATGTTAATTCCATTTAAAAAAAAATTTACAGCTGCAACTAAAATTATGGGTCCAGAGAGATGAAAGGCACATGCCTCACAAGTGGCAAACAGTGGCTCACTCTCTAACATCAAATGGTCTCCCAAGCATAACCCCTGAAACCAACACCCCACACCTCCCAGCAGAATCCAGGTAGCCTGCATAATCTCACAACTGCAGAGCCCAAGAAGCTGTGCACCCTTAGGCACTAAATTGACCTGATGCCCCCCTTCAGTTGAAAATGGCTGGGAGGAGACCCCCAGCTTCTGTGCACTGCTTGGGAGACTCAGGAAAAAGAAGGGGTAAAAACAAGATTATAAACATCGAGATGGAGACATCATCCTGAGTAATACATAATTAATCACAAGAATCCTAAAAGCAAAATCATGTCAAGAATTTAGTCAGACAACTAGATGTGACCCCCAGAAGTAGAGTCAGATATGTCTGTGCTGCTGGTCTGTAGATGAAAATGGGTCACAAAGATGTCCTCTAGGAAAAGGAATAGACAACTTCCTCCAGGACAAAAAGGATTTAGGGACAGTGGTGGAAGGATATTCCACTTTGGTGGTGGAAATGGTCAGTATTACTATAAGACTTCTAAAGCATAAACATTAATCCTACTGTAAACCATGATAAAAAAAATTTTAAATAAGGAACCACAGTGATAGCACAGGAGGTAAAATACTTGCCTTCTATTTGGTCAATCCTAATTCAATCCCCAGCACCCACGTGATCATTCAAGCTCTGTTAGGAGTGATTTGGGAGCAGAGAACCAGGAGTAAGCCCTGAGGACTGCTGGGTGTGGCCCAAAAAAAGAAAAACAAAGGAGGGGGAGAGTGACAATAACCTCCATAAACAGGACACAGCCCTAGCCATACTTTCCTGGAATATGACTTGCAGAGCAAGAAAATAGAAAATGTGTTTTGCTTTAAGCCATTAATTTTATGGAAATTCATAATGGCAGCAGAGAAAAAGACTATTATACCCACATATGCTACCTCCAACATGAGAAAAATCATATGCGAAGGATATGTCTGGTTAGATACAAATGATTGAAACCAAGGATTTCACATGGATATTTAGTAGGGAGAATACAAAAGTCCCCAACTAGCTATATGGAATCTACCTCTACTCCCCAAAAACCAACCCAAGGATCTTAACAAGCAGATCAAGTAATCTTCCAAGAGAGGACCTAAAAGAACTAAAGGAGCAGAGGTATCTCTGTCCCACACTGACCCAGTGACACATAATCTCCTCTGGCCTTCATAATCCTCCTGGAAAGAGTAAAAGATCACTGACCATGGCAAAGATTGCATATGTTGCAGAATCTTGATATGTCTTCTGTGGGAGTTGCTGTCTCCCAAGAACAAGAATGGAGGAAATAACATTTTCGGCACAGTGGGATGTAAATTTGTGACACATCCACTGAGATATGTTCACTCAGAGAAATTTCTGTCTCTTTTGCTTAGATGGAGGCAAAAACAGTTGGATTAATCCATATATTAGTCTTAATAAAGGTAAAATATGCTCTTAGAAACAATGAACTTCCTGTAGAGATATTACAAACTGCCTACAGAAATCCATTGCATTTGTGTATGAAAACTATGGGAGAAGAAAAGAAATTTAAAAACAAGATATTTTCCAAGGGGGCTGCTCACACTAATATGACCTTCAGTAAAGGAGAGTCAGAGAAGACAGTTCTGTGCCCCAGAGACAGTCCCTGCAGCCCTCAGATGGAGGCTACAAAACTGACAGTGACTCCTTCCTGCCGTGGGGTCCTTGGGTAGAGAAGGGGCAGAAGTGAAGAGCCATAGGACACTTAGAGCACCTACCTGCGTACAGCTGGGCCTTCCTCCAGGCTGAAAGGGAACACACGGGTGAGAGCTCGGCCAACAAGCCTTCCCAGTCCAGGCCACAGTCCAGTACCCGACCCAACCCTCTCTGACAGTTACAGGATCTTCAATGTCAGGGTGACAGAAGGGGAGGTTCTGGAGTGGGGGTGCTCCTGCTTGTGCAGTCACAGATGAGAACACTGGTCAGGAAGCTTGCATGACAGGCTGGTCCCACCACTGTCCTGTTGTGACCAGATACCTTAGCTTCAAATTGTAATACATTCACCCAAGCACAAAAATTTGTAAGTCTACAACTGTACCTCATGGTGTTTTACTAATAAAAATTTTAAAAAATAATTGTAATACATGCTTCTAATACCTTGGTTCAGGTTTGCCACTAAGGTTTTGTAGATTATACTATGTGTTCAAGGGCAGGAGCAACAGCAAAGCGGGTAGAGTGTTTGCCTGGCACGCGGCCCATGTGGCCGACGACCCGAGTTCAATTCCTCCGCCCCTCTCGGAGAGCCTGAGAGTATCTCACCTGCACAGCAAAGCCTGGCAAGCTACCCATGATGTATTCAACATGCCAAACACAGTAACATCAAGTCTCACGATGGAGACATTACTAGGCCCGCTCGAGCAAATCGATGAACAATGGAGGACAGTGCTACAGTGCTACTATGTGTTCAAGTATTTAAGAGAATAAAACATTAACTCTTCCATAATTATTATGCATTAAATTTTATATTCAGTTTTTCTCTTTAAAAGATACTAAAGGAATAAAAGGGGAAATGATTAAGGCAAGAGATGAGGTGAGTTCTGGGGCAGTGAACTTTCTCAAACAACAGCACTATTCTGCAGCATTGGATCCACCATCCCACCATGTTCCCATGCCTGCTGAGCCGAGTCCCCGGCTATTTGACCTCACTAATTGTTGGCCTCCCATCACTACTTGACCATCTTCCATCACTATTTGACCATCTCATTGGAGGCTGCAGTGGACAGACTCTCCCTGGGTGCTGTTATGGGGGAAGGGTAGGAGGCACACTCCTAAACTCATAATATCCCCGTTTAGTTATCTGGCTCCTGTAATGACCACATGTGTGTCCCCATCACACACAGGGTGAGGAACAGGTGAATCAGGGAACACAGGTGAATCAGGGAACACAGAGCACCTAGAGTATCACTCACCAGCCAAGTACTCAGCCTTCCTCTGATCTGAAAGGCAACAGGAACAGGTGAGCTCAGAACCACAAGACCTCCAAGGAAGTGAACTCGGAGTAGGAGAAAAGCAAAACTTACTTAAATTTTCCTGCAATTCATCTGAAAGAAAACAAAAAAGAAGAGCATGAACTTCGTTACCTGAGAAACAGAAAACTGTGGGCCTGCAAAGTCCACCAAAACAAAAAGAAAATCTATATCATGAAATTCCACTCCAAACCCATCAGGGTCCGTGAGTAACTCCACCCTCTGGGAACTCCTGGGTCACTTGCTCTGCAATCCTGGAGCTGGAGCACAGGACTCTGACCCACAGTCCTTGGGTCACTCTGGGCCTGGGCCTGTCCTGACTTACCTATGGCCTTCAGTGCAGCCTGCTTTGCCTCCTCATCCTCCTCCTTGTCCTGGAACAGCTTCTCTCGTTGCTGCCTCTCCTGCACCTTTATGGAACATTCTCTCCAGGTGTAATAGGCAGCACCGAGGATCAGGAACATCAGCAAGGTCACACACACCACACAGACCAGCTTCCACGGAGAGGTCTTGGGGAAGAAGGGCTCTGTGGCCCCCAGAAGACCCCATGAGGGCACAGTCAGGACAACGCAGCCCAGCTCCCCGAGGAATGCCCGCCCCTCCTTAGGCTCCCCCACCCACACAGGAGAAGGCAGCAGAGCCCGCCTGGGATGAAAATGGCCATGACCTTCTCCTGGTCCAGGATGGGGTTGAGGATGGAGCAGGTCACGTTCCCCACAGCGCTGTCTCTCACCGCCAGCGCCGCCTCCACGCTGAACAGCCCCTCAGCGTCCAGGGCCTGGGTCTCTGAGAAGGCCAGAAACTTCCCCCCGCTGGGGTCTTGCCACTTCACCTGGGGCTTGGGGAACCAGCCCGCCGCCCTGCACACCACGCAGACCCCGTCCTCCTCTGGCCCTGTGATGTGCACTTGAGGGGCAGAGCCCACACCTGCGAGGGAGATGGAGGGTCCAGGAGGCTGCATCTGAGCAAGCGCACAAGCCCTGGAGCCAGTCACGCTGCATCTGCGCTGTGTGGAAGGCTGAATTTTGGGGGTTGGAGCAATAGCACAACAGATAGGGTGTTTGCCTTGCATGTGGCTGACCCAGGTTCGATTCCCAGCATCCCATATGGTCCCCTGAGCACCTCCAGAAGTAATTTCTGGGTGCAGAGCCAGGAGTAACCTCTGTGCATCACCGGGTGTGACCCAAAAAGCGAAAAAATAAATAAAAATAAAAAGAATTGCATCAATTCTTAATCAGCTGTTGCATTTTTCTGCATTAAAATAAAATTTTTAAAGATTTTCTTGTCTCTGAGGTTCCTGTCACCTCCAGCACTCAAGGATTCTAGAATGTCGATCGAGTCATCTACCTGCCACCTTCAGCTCCAAACCAGCCTCCTCATAGAAGTTTTCCTTTCTGAAGAAGCAGGTGTACTTTCCATTGTCTGCAGCCTGGATTTTGTGGATGCGCAAGGCAGCCTCCCCCTGGGAATGGAGGTCCGTATCCAGGGAGGTCCGCCCCATGTACTGATCCATCTGCTCCTCCATATCCTCCTGAGGGTTTTGGTAGATGAACACAGCTTTGGAGAACTTGGAGCGGAACCACCTCAGTTCCATGTTCTCTACATTCATGACCGGGTACACACAGCAGGGCAGTATGATGTCGCTTCCCACGATGGCAATAATCGGGTCTGAGGGGCCAATCACCAGGAATTCCTCTATAGACACAGACACGGAAGAGAAAGGCTGGGGAGCTGCACGCCCAGGGCAGGAAGAGCCAGGAGTCCTGATGAGAAGACCCCAGGCTGGAGGACTGGGTCCTGCGGGAGACACGGCAGCACAGCAGACTCACCTACAGACCCAGCGGTGTGCAGCTGCAGGAGAAGCAGGATGGCCAACGGACAGAGCACAGGGCAGGGGGAGCAATGCTCCATTTCCTCGGGGCTGGGAAGAGACAGAGGGAGGAGGCAGCCAGGACCAACAGGAAAGGCAGAGCCCCCAGAGCTCTGGGCCTAATGAGTCTCAGAGCTGGTACACCCCCACAGGAGAGTATCTCCTCCTGCTCCCTGTGAGGGCAGGGCACCCACACAGTCTGATGCCAGCTCAGACTCCTCCCAGCTCTTTGAGACCACAGAGACTCGAGGTCCAATAGAGAAAACATACACTGCCCTGCCCTTCTCTCTCCTTCTATCCCTTCCCCTTCCCTCCCCTCTCCCCACCTCTTCCCTTCCCTCTCCTCCCCTCCCTTCCTTTTTTCCTTTCCCTTTTCTTCTCCTTTTCTTCCCTTCCCTTCCCTCCCTAGCAGCATGCCCAGTGCACCCCACTCTACCCAGAACTTCTTGTCAGCACTTGGGGCCCAAAGGGAAAGCGTGCTCCATCTCTCCATTGTCACACACCATCAGGACAGAAATCTGGACAGCTCCTCACCATGAGGGACAGACCATCTCAGCTAGTGACTCTCACACCCCTAGTGTGAAAAGCCTCAGTACAGACAACACCGTCCTCAAGGCGATGCTCCTGTTTGCTTGTTCTGCTCACCTGCATTTCAGTCCCACCCCGGACCCTGCCCTGAGGGACCCAGGACATGACCCTGCACTCCACTGGAGCTGCCAGTTCACACCCGCTGACACACTTTTCCTCCTGCCTTTAAGGGGGATTTGTGCCTCCAGAAAAGCCCCCTGAGAGACAGGACAACAGAGAAGTAAAACTGGATCCTGGTCAATGAAAACACTCACAGACCACCTTCTGTGTGGAATCTGGGGAGCAGACGAGAGTCCCAGAAGGACAGGTTCTGGGGGCAAATGGATCTCCCACTCTCTTTTCCACCTGAGTCAGGTTTCCTGACTTTCTTTGCCTCATTTACAAAATAACAGCATCTCCCTCCCAAAGTGAACTTAGAGTGTCTTCAAACCCAACATACCTGCTTCAAAGTCTCCTGGTAGCATTTCCAAACCCCAATTCTTGAGAAGAGTCAAGGAACAAGTAACCCCCAAATCTGCCTGTAGACTTTCCACCAGCAGTCAGCTGCTCAGAGCCCCAAACTTGCTTCTGGCTCCAAAGCTGGGTGTGCGAGGGCCCTCGTGTCTGAGAGGCAGGTGGCTTGCAGGAGGGTGAAGCAGAATCAGGTATAGATTTCTGGGTGTTTGTCGAGCCCAGTCCAGGTACTCCCTCAAATTAATGATGTCCTGACACTGTTCTCTGGTTCCTTCCACCATTTGAAAGTGAAAGCCACAAAATGCTCTCCCAGGGGTCTCTGCCCTGCCCTGTGCATGGCGCCTAGTTATCAGGGAGGAAAGAGCAGGACCAAGGCATCGAGGAGGGTGGGTCAGGAACTTTGAAACAACACTGTCAGTTCAGAGACACGCACCCAGCTGAATAAGCACTATGCTCAGCTCAATTTTCTTCCAGACTTCAGAGGACGGATTGTGTGGCCCAGGCAAGGCCAGTTCTGCCTCTGCAGAGCTGTTGCTCTGCAGTTCCCAACCCCAGCTGACCCTCTGTCTGTCCCCTCTGCACAGGGCAAGTCTCACCGAAGGACTCAGGAGCTCCCCACAATCAGGCAATAAGTAAGGGTTTAACACAGCGTCAGGAGCTTCCAGGCCCTGGCCCTGCTGTGCTGAATCAACAGTTCCCAAGAGCATCTTAATGGTTTAACAACACACACGGTCTGAGGATAGTCACCCAGATACTGTCCTTCCAGGCTCTGACACCAGAAAATGTCCAAGTCTGTGGTCTCAAGGAAAACCATAAAGACCAGTAGTTCCCCCCACCCAGTTCCTTACTTCCTTCAAACCCTCCCACCCTGCTTTTATTAAGGAGACCTGTGTTCACCCATTTACCCTTTCAAGAAATGTGAGGGCCGTTCCATGTACTTGACCCCACCCCACCTCCCTGTGTACTTTTAATCCACCAAGGAGTCCAAGATTGTTTTCAATTTTTTTCCAAGTCAACACCAAGGTCCCAGTCACCAGTGAGGGTGGTGGCCTGGTCAAGCAGTGGCCTCTCAAGGGTGTCCCCACCCACGCCAGCCCCTCCTCATCAGGTTCATTCTCCTTCCAAGCCCCTGGCCTCCTCAACTCAGCTTAGATCTACTCACTGCCTCGTTTCCTCAAGGGATTCTTCTGCTCAAACCCTTCTGGGCTCCTCTCCGACTGCTCCCCATTGCTGTCACAATGCTGTCTCTTCTGGATCAGGTCACTTCTCCAGTTCAGGGAGTTTCCCAACTTCGGACCTTCTCACAACCATCCGGGGTCTGCTGCTGCCCCTCACCTGACTGCCCACTGCTCTGTCTCAGAAAGTTCCGTCTTGAGGGGGACCGCTGCTCACACTCTGCCTCATCCTCCCAACTGGCACATGGTTGTCCGTTTGGGGGCTTTTCATTCTCCACAGCCCTGAGGTGTGTTCATGTGAGGAGTGTGATATCTGTGAGATCCACTGGAGGCGGCACTGTGAGCACCCGCTAATCATTCCACGAAGCCTCCCTGAGGTCTCTTTAGAGGTTTCGCTTCCACTGCACATTGTTGCTCAGTTTTCCCACACTCAAGAAACAATATTGTATACTGTGGGACATGCTGTTAACTGACCTAAATAAGCCAGCCCTGAATTGACAGTGTAGTGCACTATCTTCTCTGTTTTCCTCTCCCACACCCCAATCCCAAATCATCAGCGGGTCATGAGTTACAGGATCAAAGAACTGTAAACAGTCTGTTCATCCACGTCTCTTGGCTCCCTCAAGCCTGACCACTGCTCAGCATTCACAGGTACATGACTTGGTGAGTAGACACACTCTAGTGGGACACTAGTGGGACCCTCACCACAATCTGCTGGGTTTCTGTCATGATTATACTTGTTTAATGAGGGAATCACTTCGGTTTCAGAGCCCAGCACCTCTTTCTCAGCCTGTGTTCACTTCACCTGCTTGAACTCACCTCTTGCATTTGTCTTTAAGGAACAAAGATTGGACCTCTGCTTGCTGCTTCCACCATCCCGGGTGAGTCTTACCTCTGGCTCACCTTACTGGGTCTGTTCAGAAATGGGAGGCAGAGCCCTGTTGGGGTCTTCTTCTGGCCTCAGTTTGGCGCATCCCCTCGTCCAGCAAGAGGCCGCTGCTCAAGGCCCTGAGGACTGGACCAATCTACCATTTCTGTAAAGAGATGGGTCCGGGGAAAAGAGCTAGTCCCTACGCCACTGCCTCCAGAACTGAGAAATGAGTGCACAAGCACAGCAGGGGTCCTTCCAAGCAGCTCCAACTTTATTAAGCAACCAGCATGTCTTACCAACATTTGTTTCATCACAGTTCTATAGATAGGGTTACATTTTTCCTAAGTAATCAAATGGCTAAACTGTCACCCGCACATCTGCCAGACACATCCTGTCCCATAGTGACATTGACGTGTGACCATAAGTGTGCATTGCAACAGGCTTCCTGTGTGGTCTGGGAACATCTGCCTGGGACTGAGCCCAAGGGTTAGCGTGGCACTTCGAAGCATATCAAAGAGGGCTTTTCTCCCAACAGAGCCCTTCCTTCTCGGGTGAGTTCCAGCAACCTCCTGTTCTGCATGTTGAGGGGTGGAAGACACATCTGACAATGCTCAGTGGCTACTGCTGGCTCGACAAATTACACACTGCTCACAGTTAATTCTTCTTGTCATTCTGTGAGGATAGGCAGAGAATAAAGAGAGTAACCTTCAGGTAATTCCTCAGGATCTTCCAAGAGGATGTAACTACAAAGATTCACCACCCCCCATCTCCAGCATAGCAAAAATACTAGAAAAACAATGGAGAAAACACATATAAGCCCACCACCAGGGGTTATAATGCCACCAACATATCAACCTGTACCTGCAGGGTGAGTGCATCAGCAGCCTGATTGTGCCTTCAGACTTCCTGATACTCCAAAATTGCCACTGTGCCTTTGATCAGATGCCAACAACTTCGGGCTAAGTTTACCAGGAAATTAAATGCACAAAAGTTAGATATGTGGTAGTCACACCGACAAACCACCTCCGACTCAACTTTACAAGCTCATTTATTGGCCTTATTTCAGAGACCCATAAATTTTTTTTTTAATTCTTATTAGTGAAACACCATGAGGTACAGCTGTAGACTTACAAATTTTTGTGCTTGGGCTTCAGTTATACAATGATCGAGTACCCATCTCTCCACCAGTGCCCATTTTCCACCACCAATGATCCCAGTATCTTTCCCACCCCCCTGTCTCCATCCCACCCAACCTCTGTGGCAGGGCATTCCCTTTTGTTCTCTCTCTCCTTTTGGGTGTTGTGGTTTGCAAAAGAGGCATTGAGTGGTAATCATGTTAGGTCTATAGTTTACTTTCAGCATGCTTCTCCCATCCTGGGAGGATCCTCCCAACACCCTTTATTTGGTGCTCCCTTCTCTATCTAAGCTGCCTTTTCCCCTAGCATGTGAGGCTGGCCTCCAAGCCATGAAGTGAAACTCCTGGAACTTATCTCAACTATTCTTAGCTGTTAGTCTCCTATTTTGTTACTTTATATTCCCCAGATGAATACAATCTTTCTATGTCTGTCCCTCTCTTTCTGACTCATTTCACTTAGCATTATACTTTCAATGTAGTACCACGTGTATGTAAATTTCATGACTTCATCTTTTCTAACAGCTGCATAGTACTCCATTGTGTAAATGTACCAAAGTTTCTTTAACCAGTCATCTGTTCTCAGGCACTCAGGTTTTTTCTGTTTTTGGCGATTGTGAACAGTGCAGCAATGAATGTAGAAGTGCAAATGTCATTTCGACTATGTCATTTTTTGCCTCTCCAGGATATATTCCCAGGAGTGGTACTGCTGGGTCAAATAGGGGCTCAATTCCTAATTTTTTGAGAATCGTCCACACTGTTTTCCAAAAGGGCTGAACCAGTCAGCATTCCCACCAGCAGTGAAGGAGAGTTCCTTTCTCACCGCATTCGTACCAACACTGGTTGCTTTTTTCTTTGGATGTGGGCCAGTCTCTGTGGTGTGAAATGATATCTGTTGTTTTGATCTGCATCTCCCTGATTATTAGTGATGTGGAGCATTTTCTCATGTGCCTTTTAGCCATTCGGATTTCTTCTTTAAGAAAGTTTCAGTTTATTTCATCACCCCATATTTTGATGGGGTTGGATGTTTTCTTCTTGTGGAGTTCAACCAGTACTTTATATATCCTTGATATCAACCCCTTATAGGATGAGTATTGGGTCAATATCCTTTCCCATTCTGTATACTGTCTTTGTATTCTGGTCACTGTGTCTTTTGAGGTGCAGAAGCTTTTTAATTTAAGATAGTCCCATTTGTTTATCTCTGTTTCCACTTGGTTGGTCAGTGGAATGTCTTCTTTGAAGATACCGTTAGCCTCAATATCATGGAGGGCTTTGCTGACCTTGTCTTCAATGTACCTTATGGATTTTGGCCTGATGTTGAGATCTTTAATCCATTTTGATCTGACTTTTGTGCATGGTGTTATGTCGAGGTCTAAACCCATTTTTTTGAATGTGGTTGTCCAGTTATGCCAGCACCATTTGTTTAAGAGACTTTCCTTGTTCCAGTTCACATTTCTTGCTGCCTTATCAAAGATGAGATGTTCATACATTTTGGGTTGTGTGTACAGATATTGCACCCTGTTCCATTGAAGACCCCTAAATCTTGAAAGAGATTAAAAACCACAGTTAGGACCAGCAGCACACTGCGAGTGACTGTGCACTCCTTTCAGGGCATACGCCAATAGTTTATTTCCCTGGAAAAGATGTAAACAAGGGCCATGACCCAGAGACACACAAAGAATCTCCAGGGGGTAAGGTGCGACCAACAGGTCAACCTGTGCCCGAGGGGCAAGTGCATCAGCAGCCTGATGGTGCCTTCAGGCTTCCTGACACTCAAAATTGATGTTGTGCCTTTGGCTGAACCACAACAACTTGGGGCCAAGTTTACAAAGA